GAAGAGTAGTACTAACCTATTTCTTAATATTAGAGTTAAGTAAACTTTAACTATTAAAATAAACTTTCTTCTCTTATAAATTACTATCCTCCTATTTAGATCTTAAAGAAGAGCTATAATAAAAAGAAAGATAATTAGTCTTAAAAACTTAATCCTTCTTAGTAATAAAATCCTTAACTAGTAAGTCCTACTAATTAAGTAAAGTTTAATCTAAATCTTTAGCCTATTATAAAAGTTATTTAAAAAAAAGGACTAAAGAGACTTTATAAAAAGAAGGATTCTTAGGCTATAAAGACGCCTATAATAAAGAAGTTAATTATAAAGAAGCCTATTCTAAAGAAGTAATTAATAAAAGTAAAAAAATAGATTTTATATACTAATAACTACTACTAAAAGTAAGAGTTCTCTATATATTAAGTCTTTTATCTTATCTTTATAAAGTATAAGAATCTTTTTTAGTTATCTATAAAATAACTTATATATTTACTTTTAAAGCTAGTTTAATTAGTTACTAATTATATTAGTAAACCTATCTATAGTATACTATATCTCTATTTATAGAAAGAGTTATAGAAAGTAATATACTATCTTAAAATAGACTTCCTTTATTAGTAGTAGCTCTAAAAACTAAGTAATACTCTTCTCTAACTAAGAAATTATATAAAGAGATATAATTATAAGTTATATCTAATATATACTATTAATAAATTATTTTTTAGTATAGCTAAGTATATCTATAAATAGTACTATAAGATCCTAAGGTCTATATTTTATAGTTTAACTATTAGTAAATCTATAAAGAATAATAAAAAATAGAGAGGCTAGAAAAGAAGAAGAATACTATAGGAAGAGCTAAGAATAAGGTAAAGCTAAAGAGAATAGCTAAAAAGGAATTAGCTAAAGAGGAATAGCTAAAGAGAAGCTAGAAGGAAATAGCTAAGAGAAAAGTAAAGATAGAAAATCTATAAAAAGGAAATATATCTAGAAGCTATCTAGGATAAAAGTTAATAGTAAATCTAGTCTAAAGTATAAAGCTTTAAAAGTTAAAGAGCATATATAATAATCTAGTATTTAGAAATCTAAGCCTAACCTAGATAGGCTAGTTACTTTAAAAGAGCTAATTAGTAGTCTAGAAAATCTTTAAAGTTAATAAATTCTACTAGAATCTAACTTTATTTACTATTACTAATAATAAAGATTAGTTATATAGTTAATTTTATTAGCTCTCTAACTTACTAAGAACGTAAAAATAATTTAAAATAAGTATAGTATAACTATCCTTAAAAATATAAGTTAGCTTAGGCTACCTTAAGCTTTTATCTTCTTCTATAAAGATTTATACCTTAGCTTATTATATTAAATAAATTATTATTTAAGAAAAGCTTATTAAATTAATTCTAAAGTTAGTAAACGTCTTAATATTCTTATATATAAGTCTTATCTATTATAATACTTCTAAGTTAATATACGCTATAGATTCTAAATAAATTAAAGTAATAATTTATACTTAACTTATAGAAGAGTTTAAAGTAATAAAGTTTAAGAGTAAAAAAGGACAAAGGTACTTATAGCTTCTAAAATAATAATTATATAGTATTTATTACTAAGCTTAATAAGAAGGGCTTTTATATTACTAACTTTTATATATAAGACCTTAAGATTAGCTTTATTACTACTAATATAAAGTACTACGTAGTAGTAATAAATACTAAATAAATATACTATTAAAAGACTAGATATTCTCTTTCTCTAAGTATAATACTTTCTTTTTAGAAAGTAGCTTATCTTTATATTAAAACTAGCTTTACTCTATAAAAAATAAGTTAATAAGAGGCTTACTACTCTCTTACTTAATCTATAAAAGCTTTTATACTAAAGATTAATATATCTACTAATAAGCTAAAAGCTATATAGACTAGTTTTCTTAATAATAATAATATATATTTATTATCTATATATTTTTATTAAAAAGTACTTAATATAAAAAGTATATATCTAGTAACTAATAAGATAAATAGAAATAAATAATTAAACTATATTTCTTAAAAAATAAGCTACCCTAATCTTTATTACTATTTTAGTAAGAATAAGTAAAATATTCTTATAGAAGCTATAAATAATATCTAGTAATTACTCTAGCTCTAATTTACTATCTTTTATAGTAAATATATATAAATTAGATTAATATACTACTCTATATACTATGCCGCCCTAATAACGCTTTTTATTTAATTTTACTTTAGCGTTATATTCTATTAGTCTCTCTTATTTAGAAATATTTACCTATATTTTAATATAAAATAAACATTATCTAATATAAGTAAAAAGGACTAAAATATAATTTATTAAAGTTCTACTTTATAAAATATATAAAGTTTACCTAAAATAAAGTATTTACTATCTAAGTAGAACTAAACTACTTTAAACTATCTAAGTAGAACTAAACTACTTTAAACTATCTAAGTAGAACTAAACTACTTTAAACTATCTA